TGCTTTGAGAGAAGTATAAAAATAGTATCTTTAGAAACGGCAATGTTAATATAGATTGTGCTAAGACAGTAATGTTCTTTCATATATTAAGATTTCCTATTACTTCAAATATAAAAATAAAGTGTTAAAATAAATTAAAAATAAGAATATGAATGTCTAAGTTAAATGCTATGTTTTTCCTTCAAATAGGGGTATAAAGAGACAAAACATCAGGTAACTTATAACAATAGGCAGTGTGTCAAAAATAAACATTACAACTTTAAGATATAAGAAAAGCACTTTATGTGTCAGGAGCTCTTTGATCATACTAAAATCAAAGGTACAGAGCAGTGTAATAATAACTATCCTATTAAACCCACCTAACTATGTTGGAAATTGCACTACTATATTTTCTCTACTTGTTACAGTTCTATTTGTTTATTAATTTTGCCTTAAAATATATACCAGTACATTTCTAAGATGCTTTGCACCTAAGATCAAAGGAAAAACTATAGAGTATAACTTTAAGAGCTCAAGAGTATACTACCAACAATATAAACAGAAGTGATGTTTTTAACTTCATTATGTCCTCTGATTTTCAAAAAAAATGATAATTCTTACACAATACCAATCCTAACAGTTAAATTGGCCACTGCATTCTCCTCATGGTGAAAATAAAAGATGTGTGACATATTTCCTTCACTAAAAGAAAATTTCACTTAAATTCTGCTTTTTCATGATGTAAAAAAGTTTAACATATAGTTTACAGATTAAAAAAAAAAAAAACACTCAATTAACCAATTTAGACAGAGAGTAAAATCAAGACACTCTAATGAATATAGGAATTACAAAATTAAATTTTAACTTAAGGTCCATACGAGAAAATAATTTACATTAAAAGTGATCCAATTTTATAACTACAAATACGAAAACATTATGAAATACATACAAATATATTCCATTATTATAGTGAAGGATTCCTGTTTGGCTAATATAATGAATACCTCCAGTATCACATAAGAGAATAAAAATAGGTATACTATGAAGTGTTCTAAAATCTAAGGCACACATGCAAAGATTTTATACATCCCAAGCAATAATGCATTCAGTAAGTTTTTCCCAAACCTATTTGAACCATCCATTAAATAATTTTAACAGATAAAATCAATCTATTTATAAATGAAAACCAAATACATCTTCAGATGCCAAGTAAAAGAATGAACAAAAACACATTACCATTCTGAAAATGCATATTATTATATTCCCCAAAATGAGAAAGCTGTTTTTTACAAGGCAATTTAGAATAATCCAATTATAAAAGGATATACAGATCAATCAAATTAGGTTGCTATAATCAAGTAAGAAACATCTATGTCTAAGTCATCAGTAATAAATCGGTATTCTGTGAGATTCGGTATTTTTAAAACTAGATAAATGAATTATACAGCGCAGCAAAAAGTAAAATAAATCTACGTGTAGATTTTTTTTCTGATTACAATAACTGAAAAATGCACTTTACAAATTATTCATCATACAGTTTTTCCAACTTATTTTAATGTATGACATGTTGAAATACACAATACAATACTCAGTTGTACGAATTCTAATTCATACCCCTAATGTGCAAAAATGTTTTTATTTCAACCAAAATATTTAAAAATTACTAAGAAAAGCAGTTTTGCTTAAGATATATTAAGGATAGAACCTGAACAAAAATAAGAAAAAAATTAAATAAATAAGTCAATATGAAGACTTATAATCATCTGTAAGAAAAAAATAAAATCTAGCTATCAAATTTATTCAAATATCCCCAAAGTATGTCAGTATTCTCTTAGGCATCTTGTAGAAAGTTTGCACAAATATACTAGTATTTTAACTAAATCTTATGAGTACAATTACATTCTGTTTCAAAACTTAGGTAATTTGAGAAAATCCATTAGGTTATACAACTAAAATACACTTTTCCCCAAATATACTCTTACCAAATGAAAAACAGAAATGCTTCATGAAATAAACATCAGATATATTCATTCTAATAGAATATGGCAGTCATAAATATACCTGTATCTGAAAGACACAAAAATGGGTTTCTGAATTACTATATGATCCTATAAGAAATAATAACTCGACGATATGAATCATAGTTTTATAATTTAGCTCATCTGAGATGTGCAAGGTAAATATCTCTTATGTGTATCTGAGGAAGAGAAGTTGAAAGTTGCTCACAGGCTGTTATGCTGAAGAATAGCAAGACCTTAGATAATTCCACATGCTTGTGTCAAGTATGAACAGAATGATTATTAAAACTAAGGTCTATCTGAAAAAGAGAAATCTCTCTCTTAACAGGAAATAAACTAGTTAAAATAATATTTAATACAAAGTGTTGGGGACTCTTAAAGCTGCTTATAAACTGTAAAGCGATAGTTTATCTTTAAAATAGATTCCATAATGTGTGACTGGTTTCCACCTGTTACAGCAAAGTATAATTCTTTATCCGACATCTCAACTCACATTTGATCAGGTTACGTCACTATACACACAAAATTTTATTCAACGCATTCCACTTTTCATTTTTCCCCAACAGATATTCTTACTCTAGACAAATAAGATGCATGAGAACTATAAATAAAATAAAGGATTTCAATGTAATAAGAAAAAATGCACAACTAAGTGGATCAAAAACAAAAGATTTAATTCTCAGTGCACCCCTTCCAACCTACTGAAAATAAACTACATTCAAATGAAAAGGCATTTAATTTACTATTTGGAATATCCTTGATAAACACCAATTTTCTGTAACATCCCTGCACATCTGATACAACCTCATGTATAATGCAGAAAAGCTATTTCATTTTCTTCTATTGACAGTGAATTTAGTTTACCACTGCAGCTTTTTTCTTAGAACTATCATGTTATTAATTCTGCAATCAGGCTCTTTTGAGTGCTTTTATTTGTACTAAGGTTTTCACAATTCCACGTTGATTTTTTTTTTCATCATAATATACCTTTTAAATGTATGAATGTGAATATGTTAGCAAACTTTCTTAATGCATAAAGAAAGTTTCAGAGATAAGGAAAGCCATCTACAAACTACTCACAGGAAACAAACTTTAGAGGGACATAATATGTAACAGATTGCATTTTATTTTAATAAATTTAATTTTTACCCAAAATACATTTAATTTATAAAACAGAAGTGATGCTTTCTACCATTCTAATACCATCTTATCCAGTATATTGGTCCATTTCTACCACCAAGAGAGTGGCTATGAAAAAGAAGTCCTCCAAATGTTCTGCCTACATTCATGCCAGATGTCTTTGCTGTATTAAAGAACTCTTACTGAATTAGATCACTGAAAGCAAATCAGCTTTTCTTTTCTACCAGGAAAAAAAAAAAAAGCAGTATCAGTCCCCTCAGCACTGAATTAATATTAATAGTATAAAGATAAAATAGTTCCCCCCAAATGGCAGAAAGCTATACCTAAGTAAAAGCAACTAAGCTGATAACGTTTGATCTAGAAGATATACTATTCAGTTATGGATATTTTCCCATTAAACTTAAAATACATAGATTCAGCGGCAAAATGATAAAAACAAAACAAAGAAAACCAAAAATAATGCAGAACTGTATAACACTTTAAACAAAAAAGCACACAGAAAAGTAAAAAAAAAAAAAAAAAAAAAAAAAAAAAAATAAACACCCGGAGAACATATAAATCCCA